TACAGTTGCTGAAATTCATTCCCCCCTTCCTCATTAATCTACACTCAATACCCCATAATGACAATGAAAACAGAATTTTAGAAATGTCTATACATTTATTAAAAAGAAAAAAACTGAAATTTCACATTGGCATAACTATTCAGACCCTTCACTCAATACTTTGTTGAAGCACCTTTGGCAACAATTACACACTCGAGTCTCTTTGGGTATGACACGACAAGTTTTGCACCCATGGATTGGAGGATTTTCTGCCATTCCTCCTTTTTAAATCTTCTCAAGCTCAGTCAGGTTGAATGGCTTCTGTCAGTGGACAGCCATTTTCAGGTCGCTTCAGAGATGTTCAACAGGGTTCAAGTCAGGGCTCTGACTGGGCCACTCTAGGACATTCACAGAGTTATCCCTAAGCCACTCCACTGTTATTTTGGCTGTGTGCTTAGGATCATTGTCAGGTTGGAAAGTGAACCTTCAGATCAGTCTGAGGTCCTGAGTGCTATGGAACAGGTTTTCATTGAGGATATCCCTGTACTTTGTTCCATTCAGCTTTCCCTCAACCCTGACCAGTCTCCCAGTTCCTGCTGTAAAAAACACCTCCACAGCATGATGCTGCCACCACCCTGCTTCACTGTTGGGATGATATTGGGTAGGTGATAAATGGTATCTGGTTTCCTCCAGACATAACATTTAGAATTGAAGCCTAACAGTTCAATCTTGGCTTCATCAGACCAGAGAATCTTATTCCTCTCAGAGAGTCCTCCTTCAGGTGCTTTTTTGCAAACTCCAAGCGGGCTTTCATATGTTTTGCACTGAGGAGAGACTTCTGTCTAGCCACTTTGCCATAAAACTTAGATTGGTAGACAGCTGCAGTGATGGTTGTCCTTCTGGAATTCTGTCCCATCTCCATACAGGATCTTTGGAGCTCAGTCAGAGTGACCATCGAGTTCTTGGGTCACCTCTCTTCCTAAGGCTCTCCTCCAATGGTTGCTCAGTTTGACCAGTCAACCAGCTCTTGGAAGAGTCTTGGTTGTGCCAGTCTTCTTCCATTTGAGAATTATGGAGGGCGCTGTGCTCTTAGGAACCTTCAGTGCAGCAGAAATTTTATTGTAGCCTTCCCCAGATCTGTGCCTTGCAATAATCCTGTCTCTGCAAGCAGTTCCTTTGACCTCATGGCTTTTGCTCTGCTACACTATGCATTGTCAGCTGTGAGGCCTTCTATAGAGAGGTGTATGCCTTTCCAAATCATGTCCAATCAATTTAATTTACCACAGGTCAACTCCTATCAAGGTGTAGAAACATGTCAGCAATCATCAAGAGAAATGGGAGGCGCCTAAGCTAAATTTCAAGTGTTGTTGCAAAGGATCTGAATACTGTACTTATGCCAATGTGACATTTCAGTTTTTTTCTTGTTAATAAATGTACAGACATTTCTAAAATGCTGTTTTCACTTTGTCATTATGAGGTTCTGAGTGTAAATTAATGAGGAAAAAATGAATTTCAACAACTGTAGAATCAGGCTGCAGCATAACAAAATTGACAAAAGTGAAGGGGATCTGAATACTTTTTGAATGCATTGTATATATATTTTCCTTCATACATATGGAGTATGGAATATTTGCTTTACATACAAAAGCAAACACAGCTGTTTTAAATCTGAGACTCTAAACCATAGAAAACTCTACCATACCATACCATACCATAGAAAAAAATGTGACTATATCTCAACCAAAGGAAAAAAGACCAATTGTAAAGAAATCCTTGTTCTTCTTCACCAGCCAAACTTTTGTTCGGAAAGCTTGTTTAGGAAATGTTATGAGCTTTCAAGTACCAGAGTGGGGAATGTCTCTCAAAAACTGGACTGAAAGGAAGCACCAGCCAATTGGGGTAAACAGCAACAAAAATCTAAGACAAGTTTGAACTAACGATTTGGAAAGACTGAACAAGATTCGATGTGGTTTCTCCCAGGAAAATATAGACTTCCTGCCTCAGAGTAGCAAGTAAAAGCTTCAAACTAAGCCTGAAGAACACAGAATGTAAATTGGGCACTCCTTTATTTCTGCCTAGTGCAACTTTTTCTGTACCTTTTCCCCTTAACATGCAACATTTCCTAATATTTTCATGATACAAACTCCTCTTTTTCAGAGAAAAAACTAGAAGAGACACAATAAGCACAGACCAAAACTAATGAAAACTCTCAGCAGAATTCCTTGCTTACAAAGAAAAGTGTTGTTGCATCTCTGCATGTTAATAGTCTCATCATGATTCCAGCGTCTCAAATAGCACACCCACATAAAAGTTGTTTGCTTGTTTAATTTACTAAAAGCTTCTGAATCTCATTCATCATCCAAAAACCTCTTGGGACAAACTGATCAGTTAGTTAGGCAGTAAAAACATACCTATGACCATGTCTTCATTTCCAAAAAACATTTGCAATAATGGAAGTTAGGATTTGATTGTGCACAAATTACTTGTTTTCTGCAGCAACTTTTACTTTTGTGGAGGGGGAAATTAGCTTTTGCCAGAATTACAGGTATTCCTCAACTTACAACTATTCATTTAGTGACCGTTCAAAGTTACAGCGGCACTGAAAAAAGTGACGTATGACCATTTTTTCACACTTAAAATAGTGGCAGCATTCCACCCCCCCCCGGTCCTGTGATCAAAATTCAGATGCTTGGCAACTGGTTCACATTTATGACAGGTGCAGTGTCCCGGGGTCGTGTGATCCCTTTTGCGACCTTCTGACAAGCAAAGTCAATGAGGAAAGCAGATTCACTTAACAACTGTCTTACTAACTTCACAAATGCAATGATTCACTTAACAACTGTGGGAAGAAAGATCGCAAAATGGGGCAAAACTCACTTGACAACTAACTTGCTTAGCAACAACTTTGGGCTCAATTGTGGTCATAAGTCAAGGACTGCCTAGCAACAAAAACTTTGGGCTCAATTGTGGTCATAAGTCAAGGACTGCCTATATATTACTCTTTATATTAAGGATAGGAAACTAGTTCAGCTGAGGTTGTTGAACTGTAAATCCCAGCAGTCTTTTCTAACATAACCATGGGTGAGAGATACAATAACTGGGAATTTATTCAATAACATTTGCAGGGCCTCACATTTGTACCTCTCTGTTTCCCTGTGAAAACTTTCACCACTTTCATATTCCACCCTTATACAGCTTATGTGGCCTCATTGTCCTTTCTCCTCACAACAAATGAGGTAGATTTGACTGAGGAATTGACCCAGGACTACCATAGTTTCACAGTTGATTGTGGTTTTGAACCTAAGTTCCAGGCATAATACAATAATTAAATTGCCACAGAATTATGTTTTTATTACTCAGATGAGGTATACCTATCACTGGCATTTGTTGGGCCTGTGTGATCCTCTATGCCACTAAATATGGTACTCCCCATTATTGTGTCATATAAACAAGCAACCGTTTGAATTTTAGATTCTAACCTACAGGTCCGGGGAAGATTGATGTGTATTTCTTTGCCCTCCAAGGTTTCTAACATATGTAATCTTTCCATCAGCAACGAATAGTTGGACTGTGCTTTTTGTCTAAAAGCCTTGCCTGTATAAAAAGGCTCTGAACTGGATGGTACTTATTAATTTTCCATTACTCAACTGCTAATGAAATATACATTCAACCTCACAGACCAATTAAAGTAATATTCCCAGAAGCGGCCCACCATTTTAATTCATTCTTCCTAGTCTACCCTAATTAATTCCTTTTGTTAGGAGTCCTTGAAAGCTACTAAGCAGCTAATGAAAAACAGTGATTTCCATGCTTTCTAAAGCCAGCCATTTCCATGCTTCTCAAGAACATTTCAGGAAGCACTACAACTTGGACTTACAATGAATCAAATCTAGGACAGCTTTTAGTAGACCAGGATTCCCTACACAATTACCTTCCAGAGATGTTGGATCTGAAATTTCCTAGTTGAGTCAGGGAATTGTGGTATTTGGTCTAACAAATTTAATGCTGCCCATGATTTTTTTTAACAAAATTATCCTGCCTGTATTATGTTTATAAATAACTCAATGTGATGAACATACCAAATATTCCTTCCTCCTCTTATTTGCCCCCACAAACCCTGTGAGGTAGGTTGGGCTGAGAATGAGTGTGACTGGCCTAAAATCACATAGCCAGTTTTCTGGCCTAAGGCATGACTAGAACTCACAGTCCACTGGTTTCTAGCTTTGTGCCTTAACTGCTGGACAAAACTGGTTTTCAACATTTTCTGGGATCTTTCTGTGTTAGAGACAGCCTCTTAAATATTGGACCAGCATATATGGGCTTTAAACATCTATATCTACACAGTCACCAGATGGTAGCAAAAAAAGAGGTAGAAAGTCTTATATTTTTTTTCTGCTATTAACTGTTATCCAGATATTTGAAATCCAGGTGGGATTGGTAGATGGATGTATCCATAAAGTAATCAGGACCTGAACTTAGTTTGAGGGAAATTTTATCTTTGCTTTAAACAGAACTTGGCTGAAGCACAGCAGATATAAAGACGACACAGGAAGTTTATGGAAGAATTTGTTGGACTGACAGCATTCAGTGGAAAGAAACAGGCAAGCTTACAGATATGCTGAAGTTATGAGACACAAGTCAGTATGACACAGGGCAGTTTCTTACAAATCTCAGTTTTTTTGTAAAAGTCAAAATTTGGAATGGAATGTAACTGAAAATGCACAAGCAACCTAGAGAAGCATCTGGCAGGATTTCTGGAATGTAGATGCATCATCCAGATAGGTTAAAGTATATTTGTCGTGATTCCTAATCATCATTTAGATTCAGAAATGGAAGTCGGGGTCTAATCCCTAAGGAGTGCAGAGGGAAGGCAATATGCTAATATGCCGAGTATTAAGTATCTACAGATTAAACATAATAAATCTAATCTGCCCTGGCAGATACATCCAAATAATAGAGAAGGCCTCATCACTTCCATTACTTAATAATTAAAGAAAAATCACACAGAGAAGAGGAACACATTGTGCCAGCACTGAGTGACTTTAATTTACACCTTTAATTGTGCATCCATTTTACACCACATTAGACCATTCACATGATAAAGACTGTAACCAACTCTCTTGATACCTAGTAGCTGGACCCAAGCATTTCCCATGTCACACTTTGTCCTAGTTAAGCAATAATCATATTTGTTACACCGTGCTCCACAAACTTACACTTCTTAAAATGTAAAAAAAAAAAAAAAATTAGGGAAGGGGGGAAGTAAAGGAAGAAAAAAAGAAAAAAGAAAAGACAGTGTTAGTTTAGTGCTGCTCCTGAGCGCTACGACCAGACGTGGAGACCGTGACCTGGAATGTTAGAGGGTGGGGCTCTACCCACACCCCGTACTTGGTGAACCTCTCCCAACCCGGAAGGCTGCAAGACATGAAGCTCCTACAAGATGGAATGCTTCTCAAAGGGAATGGTCAACTCCTTTGCAGCTGGCTCATCCAGGAACCAGTAAAGCTTCCCAGTATGTGGCTGGACAAGGGCAGCCGGCAGTGGGTTTTCCTCGTTGCCTTCCAAAATACGCTGTGGCAAGAAAGAAAAAGGTCAGGCACCCATGCTTTCAAAGTCTACACTTTGCATATGGTATTCAAAATGTTAACAGGGGACATATTTTAAGCTGTGAGCTGCCCAGGGTCACTTTGGAATCAGGCAATGTGTAAGGAAATACATATATAAATAAAGGTTCTCCCACCCCCCTTTCTTTGCTAGGAGGCATAGGGAACAGTCAAACATAAACTACTGCCAACTACCTTGCTCTTTCTTAGAAAATTCTACAACAGAAAGAAAGAGATGCACAGCCATCATTAAAAAGCAAATGTGTGTACTGGACAAAGCCACAGTTCAATTTGAAGCAAGCCAGTCTGATTCCTCAGTGTATTAGCTCAGCATAACTAATTACTTTTCAGCTTAGCAAGCCAAAGTAGAACAAACAAAACCTTTGCAAGAAACTTTTCAGAACAAAACTGAAAAACAGACGTTGCAATTGACTATTTTGCCCCACCCACCTATGATGACATCACTATATCACCCGCAGCACTCAAAAGCTTGGGGAGGTGGCGGGAGGGGGGGGGAAACAGCCCTTCCAAAGGAAAGTACCTTTATCACTGCAGCCTTGTTGTCCCCTGTGGCAACGAACACCACACTCCTCGCAGCATTCAGCACAGGCAAAGTCAGTGTGATCCGCTCTGAGGGGGCCTTTGGGGAATCACTAATGGCAGCCACAATCTTCTCCCGCTCCTGACACAGGAAAGTCAATATGGACCATAATGAAGAAAGGCAAAAAAAAAAAACCTTTGGAAACAGCATGAGACAGAGCTAGGTTTACTCCATCTTTATCTGTTTGGTGCCCTCCGGATATGTTGACACTACAATTCCCAGAATTCCCAGGCCAATGCATGTGGACAGCATTGTGACAGCTAAGCCCAATGTACCAAAAGCAAACTGGGAACTTTCAACTCACATTTTTAGACAGGTACAAACAAAGCACCGTATTTAATTCTCAAAGTCTTACACAAAACATCTTACAAGTGTGCACAATGTTCAAAATTAACCAGTTCTTGGAATGTTTCATTTTCAAAGGGTCCTTGACATAGAACATCTCTGGGTGCCCCATAACCATAAATCTTAAAATTGGCAAACTTGGAGACCCCTGCTCTAAGGGGATTTTCCCATGGAATATACTGTAAGTATAGATTATCAAACTCTAAACAAGATTTAAGGAATTAAAATTGTTGTTTAACCAATTAATGCTTTAACTGGGTTGGGGGTCAGCCTCACGTTTAGCTGATGTACTAATTAACTATACATTCATAATATTGGAAGCCATTTATCATAATGTGGAACAAACACACACTTCTAAAAATTATGCAATCACCTTTAATTTTCCCGATCTTAGTTTTCGCTCGCAGAGGCACCGTGGGCCAGTCCTTTGCTGTTTCCATGGACCCATGGACCAGATCTAAGAACCCCATGGACTGGATGTGGCCCATGGGCCTTGAGTTTGACACCCCTGCTCTAAAGGTTTGCTCAAATTAGATGAACAAAGAGACATAAATTATAGGAAGAGATGATGCAGGACCAAAAGGAGAGAATGGAAAAGGAATTTTTTTTATTATTATTACCCACAAGAGAAGCCTATCCATGTCTATTTCACAAATCTTTATAGCTTCCCCAATGGTTGGATATATTCTACTTGTCACTTGATTGGTTCACTTGCACCTTTGAACTATTGTTGAAAGACGTGCAGGGAATCAATTGTGCTTATTTTCACAAGGTTATACATTTTGCCATTTATTACTTTCTTGATGGTCCCAGCTAGAAATAGGCATCAGCATGCAAGGATAGGCAACTTTTTGGGTTTGGAGGGCATGACAACTAGCATTTGAACAATAAGTTGTAAGAGCTTCTCATGGCCTTCATGTCATGTCTTTCCTATTCACAAAAGAGCTGCTCTGGGAAATGCGGCCAATGGCAAAACCCCTGTTTAACAGAAAACAAATTGGGGAAAATGCTCTCTTCTATCCTGACTTTCTCTGGCTGTTCTCTGGCTTTTTTGTCCCATTGTTCTCTGTTATGAGTTGGGAATTTAACTAAGGATAGCAGAGGCAAAGTTGTCTCCCATATCTCTCCCAGACAGATCAATCATACTAATAGACATCTTGATACTTCACAGTAGCCCTGGCTCTAGACTTCTCAGAATTGATAACTCCTAAGGATAAACTCTTAAGTTTAAGGATAATTCTTGTTCTCAGTGTACATTTGTCCAATTAATTATTTCCTGCGGCTGCTCAAGGAAAATCTATTTCAATAGACTGTTATAGCATCACTTTTTAGAAGGATCATCTGTCACAAGTAAATTATTATAGACTTTAATCTGATTACTGTGAGCTTCCTCAGAATAGCCAGCAGGATTTTTGCTCCTTTAATCTGCAACAGCCATGACTCCATAACAGGATCTTCAACCTAAGCAACAGCAGACAAAAAAAAATCATCTGCAGTTCTTCTCTTTGGCTCACCTGTAGTAGGGGATGATCTGGAAAAAGAGAGCAGGTGTGTCCATCTGGTCCTACTCCTAAGATCAAAAGGTCAAATACAGGCATATCTTCACCCTGGAAGGCCTGTGGAACAGAAACACACTTGAGGGTTTAAGTAACACATTCATTTATCTACCTACTCAACTTTTATACTGCCACTTGGTATATTCTTACTAGTTTTCAAAGAAAAATATATTATGAATATAAACATGGAGATAACTATCTTTTCCTCCAAACACAATCTAGAAAAATGAAAATGTCTTCACCTGATATTTAAAAAGTACTAAAATATGAATCAGTTGGCATTATTGTGTTAAGAGTTTCCATGATCTAGTTATTATGAATTTAATCTTTTTAAAAATTCTTTAGGACAACATGTTTCCCCACAATCTGTCTTCGTACTGTAATTGTCCTGAACTTGATCTGAGATTTCAAGCATTTGGAGGAATTATCCCTATTTGCACTTGTTAACTAGTCCCAAGTAGTCTGATTGAAAAAGACAGGGCTTACCTTATTCTACCACAGCATCATATGGGAGATGCTGTAGGATTATAGTTTCTGGAACTCAGAGCTAAAGCGCTAAACACAGCATAGTTGAATTGTAATAACTTCATTCAGCATACTTTCATTTTAATCTACATTGATCAACTTGACACTAATTGTTCAGTTTGTCCAAGACCTTTGAAAGGACATTGGCCAGAAATTTACAATTAGTAGGCCTTTTACAAGTCTAGGCTCAAAACTGTGTAATGAATGTATATTCAGAATTAGTGGCTCATCAACGTTTTGTCAAACATCGGGGAACTTTTATGAGTACTGAAAGCAAAATAGTAGATCAAGCCAAGAGGTTTCCCTATTGAAAATAGTGAATTCTTGAGAAAAAAAAATCAGTTAGGATGTAATCTCCTTTCCAACCTCTGTGCTTTGCCCTTAAGTTACTAATATCCTGCAAGAAAATCTGTCTCTGGCAAATAAAAACACACCAACTCCGAGCCATACCTTTTTCAGCTTTTCAGCATAATCTGCCGCTGCCTCTTCTACTGGTAGTGAAGGATTGATAACAACTATTTGGTCATCAGGTATAGCAATTTTAGAAAGGAGGTATGTCTGAAACAAAATGCAAATCACTATTACAGAATGACAAAACAAAGTGTGGGACTCTCATAGAAAGGAGAGGCTGCTCTCTCAAACTAGCACAAATGAGGGGAAATAGAAGGCATCTACTGCATTCTCTTTTTTTAATTTTGAAAAAACTTTATTAAATACAAAAGGTTAAAATATACAAATGTACAAAAATAAAAGGTAAAAAGTCATACACATACATAGACATCACAACACTTTCTATAATAGAACTAATTATATTTTTCTCTAATACATTTAATAATGAATTAAATGTTTCATAATAAATATTGAGTGGCATTTATTTCCTATATCCTGTAAATTGCCAGTTATCTATACTCTATCAAACATAATAGTCTATTATTGTTTTTTGGTATTGTATTATAATTGTATGTTTTTACAAATATATTCTATTACTTAGTCAAAGCACAAGGAGACCTAGAACATTTGTAATTTCCTGTCATTTGGTGTATATATATATCATATGTTTCGTAATATTATATTATCATATTACTGCATTCTCTTTATAACCCCTTTCCCAAGAGCCACCCTAGTAGAAAGAAGGTCTCTTTTAAGAATAGGAAAACAATATGGCAGGGGTTGGAATGGGATGAAATAGAAAGGAGATAAATCTCCATCCACTGCTGAGAGCATTCTATACAATCTCACGGAGTCTGACTCTGTTTCCTCAGAAGAATAAAAGCAGGATCAAATCTATACAATTATCACCTGAAATGCACTTCTTCCTATTTCACTTCCTTTTTTCACTATAACTGTAAGCTCTGTGAAACTTGGGTTTGATATTTTCCTGTTATTTCCTCCTGCTTGTAGGTGCCACCATTCTTACTAATGTAATAAAAATAAGAAAATAAACACCCCACAAATGAACCTTCCCCCATTGCTGTATCTAGCATACATTTCCCTTGTGCAAGTGTGATCTTCCATGAAGCAATTAAAGATACAAGATTCCTAACCAAAAGCAACAACAATGGGTAACTTTGTCATGGTCATCTACAGGTAATCCTTGACTTATAGTGGCCCATTTAGTGACTGTTCAAAGTTACAAAGGCACCAAAACAATGGACTTATGGCCATTTTTCACACTCATGACTGTTACAGCATCCCCATGGTCACATGATCAAAATTCAGCTGCTTGGCAACTGACTCATATTTATGACAGTTGCTGTGTCTCTGATCATGCTTTCTCCTTTTGTGACGTTCTGACAAGTAAAAGTCAATGAGGAAGCCAGATTCACTTAACCATGTTACTCACTTAACAACTGCAACGATTCACTTAACTGTGTCAAGAAAGATTGTAAAATGGGGCAAAATTCACTTAACAAACGTCCCACTGAGCAAAAGAAATGGACTCAACTGCACTCGTAAGTCGAGAACTACCTGTACTCCTTAACAGTGCTCCGGGAATCATCATTTACATCTGGGAGTATTTGGGTTTATGAAAGAAAAAGGCAAGTCTTCCAGAATCTGGGAATCTCTCCTTCAGCACCTGGTTTAATCCAACTGTTAGGTTACTAAAGAACAGAAATGATTTCCTACCTTTCCACAAAAGTAGAAAGACAAACTAGCACACCATCTGCCCATTGATCAATATGTTTGACACTCAATTGAATCCCCAATCTGACAAAAGATTTTAGAGCTATTTACATTGGAGCCTGACCTTGAGTATGCACATGTTTCATGTGAGCTATACTTCAAACAGATATTTATGCTACGTAAATTTCATACCTATTAGGCAAACTCCAGAGATACTAATTAAAAAGGAGAAGTCGCTGGGGGAAGACAAACGGAAGCCAGCCCATCCTAAAAAAAATTAAGCAACTAGCTACAGATGCTCGTTTTCCAATACAAAGCAGATTACATACAGCTCCATGCATGGCTTGAGTTTGTGGCTTCGTGTGGACCCAAACTCATGTGGCATTAATTTGCTCCAGCTTTTTACAGTGAATTCTATTTAAAGATGGTTGCTGAGGAGGTGGTTGGTGGGTTGGTGGGTCTCAGATAGGATGCTGAACAAAGGAGATTTCGGTCCGGCTCCGCAAGGCGTTTGCAGCACCCCAAAATAAAATAAAATAAGTTATTATTCATCGGTGAAGCAGCAGCGCGGACAGGTATCTCCTTGGTTAAACCGCAATCCGCGGGGACTGCAGGTGAAAAAGGAAAGATGAAAGCCGAGAGCAGCCCAGCCCTGCAGTCTCAGGTTTACCGACCCATCATCACCCGAGGGAGTTCACGCCCAGCCTTCCTGCCGGGAAGAGCCGCGGCCAAGGAAGCACGCCTCCTACCCCCCCACCCCACCCCACCTCACCGGGGATCAGCCCCAGCACCCTACACCCCGTCCCGCCTTGAGGCCCCTCCTCGAGAGACACCTTGTAGGCACCGAAGTTGCTCTCGGGGTCGTTCAGCGGGACCCGCCGCTCGTCCACGAAAGCCAGGAGCCACCGAGCAGGGCAGGCAGCGGCCGCGGGCAGCTCCTGAGCCAAGATCCGCACTAGGCTTCCACCTGACAGGCCCAGGGAGAAGCGCCCACCCGGTCCGGATTGAGCTTCCCGCTGCGCTACTAGCTGGGCCAGCGCCGAACCCAGCTCCTGCGGCGAAGGGAAGACCGAGATTTGGGGAGCCGGAGACGCTGCAGCGGCCGGACCGCGCCGTGACACCGAAGAGCCGGGCATGGCGAGTGAGGTGAGGCAGCAGCTGAAAGGAGGAACGAAAAAACCCGGCAGCGAAGCCGAGAGGGACCCATGGTGAGAAGGCGAGCAAGGCCGGGCGGAAGTGGCCGCGGTCGTCGATGGCACGCGGGCGGAAACCTTAGTAGAAGGAGGGTTTTAGAGAGGAAAAAAAAAAGCGGCGGAAACATATGCAAGAAGCTACCGGAAACCTGTGAAGCCGGCACTCTCCCCCCTATATTTATTGGCAGACGGAAATCTTACGTACTGCTGAGAATACGACGCTAGAATTTACTCCGGACCAAAATATTTTCTTATGGCTGCCTTGCGAAATGAAATAGTAGACTAAATAAAGTTGAGGCCATATTGGAGTTTATTTGAATTTTCTTCATTAGAGGTCTAATACGGGGCGGGAAATCAAGAATGAAAGGCAAAGACGGTAAGAAAGAAGGATTTATTTCTTAAGACTCTCTCTTGGCTTTCCTGACAGCTTTGTCAGGAATAGGGTTGAATAGGGTTGAGAGGTAGCCCCAAAGTGGGCCTAAACCCAGATGAATCCGTCTTTACCGGCCAAAACCTTAACACTGCATCAGAATGAATGTCTTGGAATTGCTAGGAGGGTTTTCTTCTTTGAAATTAATAATTTTCAGAACTTTGATTAAATATAATAGAGAACCCAGCATTTCCCAACTATTGCCAATTTTGGACACCAGCTATTCAAAACCAAAATTTTAGGAAGGTTGTACTGTGAAGGAGCCAGCTGATCATATGAGGTTGTCTTGTGATAGATAGCTTTTAACTCAAGAAACTGGCTGAATTAGTTATTAAAGCCCTTTCACTAGGAATAATTTATCATGACAAGAAACAGGCTATGATTTTGAAGGCTCTAGTAGAACTTTATCTTCTGAAATTTAGATTTAAGCCTATTGTGTTGTTAAATCTTAGCTTCTGTCATCATCACTTTATGATTGAGGATATTGGTGAAATCCAGACACTGGGTTGAGTAAACAATGGTTTACTTAATCATTGGTCAATGGGCAGTGTATATAGCTTGTGTTTGAAACAACAGTTTCACAATAATAGCCACATCAGGCAGCATAGAAAATTCAGGGTGACTCTGATGCAAAGTTGACATTTAAGTAGAAGAAAGCATACACTTCCTAAGCAAGTAAAATCAGTATACTGCTAGATCATACTGAGGTGAAATGCAGACTACGTATGGTGTTTTGTTAACAAACTTCGGCGATTAGATATTGCTATATTACTCAGACTGAATAGGAAACATCTGTAAATGCCTTGGGAATAAAAAGAGAAAAGAAAAAAAACTGTCCCTAAGCAAGGCAAGTACAATTTAAAGAAACACTATGTCGAGAAGAATTGGGAAAGAAGACTTTTAAAATTATAATTCAAAGGTTTTATAAGTTTCAAGTTGCACAGAATCCTATGAACTCTGAAGCGGACTAGTAATTCTCTGTTCTTATGGCTCTCAGAACCCCTTTTGGCTAGGACTGAAAATTTTTAAGTGTGGTGGTGTCTACTGAAATGCTGCCTTCCTTGATGTACTAAACAAGCTTTTTCAGTCTCTTCACCCAGTCATCTTGTTACCAATTTCAAACAGCTCTCCCAGCTAGGTTTATATGGATATGCCTTTGCTCTTAAGATAAGCATGGGGAGGAAGAATTTATGTCTCTAAGTGTGATAAATTAATTGTGTTCCATTAAAGCAATGTTAGAACCAGACTAACAAACTAATTGAGATAAGTGGAACTTGTGGCTTAGAAAAATGCAACATCATTTCAATAAAATCAGTTTCTTGAGGGAAGTCTAGAATAGACATGAATCCTTATTGGGCAAAAAGACTATATAGAACATTCAGTTTGACAGAAGAATGGTATGTTTGCAAAGGTACAGCTTACGTTACACTCATGTCTATTTTTATTTGGAAGCAAAGCTTGTTGATTCCAAGACAGCTTACTCCCAAGAACCAGGGGCTATTTAGCTGCCAACCAAAAGCTTCTGAAATAGATGTCAAGTCTGACTCCAAAGCTGTGATGTTTGCTTTGCGTCAATTCATTGTGCAAGTTATAATTCTTGGAACAAAACTTGTAGATGGATATCTTGCCCTTGGAATGCAACAAGGATTGGGCTGGCAAGAATATGGAATTATTGCCCATCCCTGTATTAATGACCTACTGTATAGCTTGAGGTAAATCCTTTAGTAAAGTTATATCTTTATGCAAATTAGGGAGGCATAAGAGCTATACGGAGTGGTGACTTTTTTGCTTGGCCAGGTTAATAAAACTGGGAGAACAGACACTGGAAAATAAAATGACAAACACACTGAACATTTTCATTAACAGAGTAGGTATACACATAACTCAGTTTTTTAAAGTTCTTTATTCTTATAAGGTTTTTCTCAAGTCAATGTTATATTTTGGCAAAAGTGACTCCAATAACAAAATGTAACATTGCTTCAAAAAATTCAGTTAGACAATGCATGATTCTTAAAATCAGGAGCAAAGTGAGATTTTGTTTGCTTTTTCAAACAAACCTTTTTCTCCAAATCAAATTCAGTTAGCTGTAGGTATGTTTGTTTATGCAAGAACTAATACAACTTATATTCGTAACAGTATTATTAACTTGTTTTAACTTGTTCTGAAGAAAAGTTGGAAAAGGCACATTCTGGGTCTTATCATTAAAAAAAGGAAACAGTTGACTCCCATGGCTTCTGAATTGTTATTTATCAATTGCCTGGCTAATACAATACTTGGTGTACTCAGAAATACAAAATAACATTGTTCTATATATGTCTTTGTAAAATACTCATATGAAATTCCATTTTTGCCAGAGAAAAATTTCCTCAAGGAAAATTAATTTGATCTTAAGTGATTCAGGGTACCTGAAACATTTCGTCCACAATCATATTGCAGGCCAGTAGTATGTACATTGGTAACAGAATATTTCCATATCACTGTATCCCAAGAATTACAGCTTCTTTGAACAGACAGGCAGTCAATCAAAATTCAAGCAGTCCATTTGTATCGTCTTTTGTTTAAATTCTTAATGCCATCTACCCAAATGGCACTAATGAAAAGAAGCAAAGTTAGGAATGTCCACATCAGATATTGCTGGAAGATCAGTGTGAGTAATGTGTTGCAAATGGTCTTTGATGAGCTGACAGGCTTCCTATGTTGATCACAAGAAATTAGCAAGACCAAAGACTGAACAGCATCAGACATCCACTTGTTTCAGGGCTTAATGGAAGCATTTTTTCAAGATTCTGGAGCAGTCAAATAATTGTTTGAAACATCCCATTCCCCCAAATGAATGTTTGTTTTAAATAAGATGATTTAAAGTAGATTAACAGAACATATATCAGTTATTTTCCCACATGGGTGTAGTATGTAACAGCCAATTGATTTGCTGTGGGTAAGTGGAATTTGAAGTACGCAATACCTTTCTGCTAAAAGAGCATTAAAATAACTTTTCAAGCAGAGTTTCCGAACCAACTTATTTTCAATATACTGTACGTATATCTTTTTAAAATAATACTGTTATTTAATCTTATTAGTCCTGTTTCTGGTTTTTCTATTCAATATCAAGTTTCTACACATAAACTGTTGCATTTTGACAGTCAGATCTTTAAAGCTACAAATAAAGCTAGAAAGAAACAATTGGAGGAACTCTAAATCTGTATGTTTGAAACCTGGCAAGTCTAAAGCAACTGAAGGCTTTATCCTAAATAATTATTTTCTGCTTTAACACAATGAAATATAGCCAAATAACACAAAAGAAAATAATTTGATCAGTTTTGCTACAATGGATTTAGTCATCCCTGAAATACTCAGGACACTGAACATGTAATAATGCAGATCAGAAACCATTTCCCTTTTCATAAGGAATTCCCTATCACAATGGTTATAAGGAAGAAAAGGCCTTTCTAAAAACCAAAAAATACAAAAAGAGCTATTCTCTGTGCTCTAGAAATGGTTAATGTGCTTTTTAAAAAGGGGGAGGAAAACCATCTTGCTCTCACACCATAGTGGAGTTTTTCCCTGTTGCATATTAAAACCTTGCTCTGCTTATTTATTCAAGTCTATTTCTCTACCAAAACAAGACCTTTCGATATCAGGCCTTTTAGGAGTCATCTCACCAATTCAATCAAAGAGAAATTTTTCCAGTTTGGATCCTCTCAAAAATGCACTCATCTATTGGTAGGTACTTGCCAACTTTTACATCCAAAAAGTATAACCGATCTGACATCTGGTGTGGATTGTAGCCTTCCCTTTGTAAACGTGTCTTCTGAATCTTAAAAGTGCCTATTGGGGAAAAAGAAAGAAGATAGAAACACATTGTTGACAATTACATGCAAAAGGAAAGCAAAGGGGTCTAGGACAACTCGCCACAGCCAACTCGCTGTGGGACAATTCAGTGCTATAATAATTGTTTCATTCAGTTACTTTTTATTATTGGTGACATTTTTATTGAAGTTATTGTAACTTGCATTTCTGGGTTGACTTTTTTATCATTATGATTGGCCAGGGTTCCATTGAAATTAATTGAACTTTTGAATTTGTTGAATTGTCCTGTGGTGAGGTGGCCATGGCGAGTTGGCTGTGGCATGTTGTCCCATTCCAAAGCAAGGAGTAGCACTTAAAGACAGTGATCAGACTGAAGATGTTTTATTTGGAAAACAGGGCAATATGTTATAGCAATAGCACTTAGACTTAGCAATAGCACTTAGTTACTTTAGATCAGCTATTTTAGCAAAGAAAGAAAGGGAATGTTTGTTTAGACTTCACAAAGTATTTGTTAGAAACTGGAGGATAACTTAAAACTCACTGGTGAACCTCCTCTTCTAAGAGATTCCCAGTAAAAGAACTATGGAACGCTGCTATCAAACAGTGAACTTCCTCTCGTACCCTTGTTTGTGTAGCTGAGGAGTCTTTTGCCCGCCTACCTTCATCCCAGCTCTCCAAAAATAGAAAGTGCTTTGAAACTTCTCGTCCAAACCCATAACAACAAACCTAATGCCAATTCACAAGAGGTGACTATGTAATTGCATGATCTTTCATGTGGACACTCCTTTACAATTCCTTTTTAAAAAAAACCCCACATGTCTGAGTTTACTAATATGGGAAAGTGACATTCACATACAGACAGAACAGCGAAACTGCTCTTGAACTGCACATGCTTCATATTCCCTGCAGATCAGATAATCTGGACCTTCTATCTTAAGGTTATTTGGCGGGCCCTCTTTTTTCCCCTTCACATGTCTAGAATACAATTTTCAGTTTAAATTAGAAGAATATGGAAAATAATTAAAAGACAACCTGTTTGTGGAGTCTAGTGGTTTGTCCAATCAAGGACATACTCTGATATCACCAGACCATCTAGTAAAGTACTAAATTATCTAGTTCTGAATACACATTTCTGACTTCCTTCAAGGTTTATTTCAAAG